TTATACCCTTCTACTCACCTGTAAGTACTTGTCTGTCTTATCACTTGACTGCATATGCTTCAGGGGAGGGACTCACTAAATGTACAGCTTTTTGAACCACAAAACTTGCAAATCTCAGAGTAAAGTAAATTATCAACAATAACACCAAAAGCAAATACGAGCTTTGCAAAAACTGATTGCCATTATGCTTATTTTAAGAAACTAGGTTTATGGCTCTTTTTTACCCAACACAAAATTGGATTGCCATTGAATATCTGGATTGTCATCAAATAGCTAGACCAGATAAGATGTCATGTAAGGTTTTAACTGGCAACAGGCAGTTGTGTCTGTTGTGTCTTACATGGTACCAGTGCATTAGCTTTCACAACACTATTTGAATAGCATCAGCTAAATCATCTTGTAAATTCAGAATTAGCAGAATTGCCATTGATATCAGTGCCCTTCACTACCTCTCATAATAAGGGTTCATATGAGGACACCCTCATACCACTGTCAGCTTTCCAAATCTGCAAGTAGTTAATTTTATTTATCCAGACCATTTTAATTCCTGGGAACAAAGTGGCCTTTACTGCCTAGAGCTCAGGGAGATTGATGCAGTGCAATGAAATCCTGCACACTGTTGCAAGTGAAACTGCTTTCAAATGAGTGCACAGCTGCCAGTGTGTGCTTGATGTATTTGCTTTGAAATTATTTAGCTATTACTATCGATTCCTCACACAGGTCATTTTCTGTGGGCCAGTGAAATCTTCAGAATCCTATGTATTTTGTCATAATTTATCAGAGCTATTAATACATTTCCAGTGTTTACATAAAGAGTTTATTAAAACTGGAAAGTAGCTTAGAGTAGCTATGTGTAAAAGTGCTGGAATAAAGAATCCTGTAAGATTTTCATGATGACAGTTGAAAATGTCATGTGAATCTTCTGTTGCTTAGAAGCAACTCTATTTATTATAAATACAATCTCCAAAATGAATATTTGAGCATGATAAAACACCTGTTTGCCCCTTTCCTTCAGCTGCATGGTGCAGTCATTACCAGTGTTCTCGCCCTTATCCAAATGCTGTCAGGAATATTTTGAAGACACTAAAAAAAATTACCTAAGGAACTGAAATGTTTGCCAATACAAAAACAAACTACAGGGTCAATCTTGTGGCCATTTGCCGTTCATATATTTTCAGCTTATGAACATGCCTTATAATAAAATTGCACAACAATCACCTTAACTGTACAGGTAAAGTTACTGTATCTGGCATTTTGTTCTCTGTCTTCCAAAGGTATATTTTTCTTAGACTCCTTTTTTGCAAAGCAAAGGCACCAGTTACAGTAGTTTGTTGCCTTGAAGATGAAGTTTTTACCTTCCTTTACAATTCTGAGCAATGTTTTCTAGTCTTTCAGAATATTTTGCATGAAGGAATCAGAGGAATCACATTTCTCCACTTTTATTTCCACTTACTAATAAATAAAAACTTTTCTAGGTACTACAAGGATATTTGCTTCGCTGAGGAAAAGGAGGAGAGAAAAACCTTTTCCAGAAATTTTTGGAATACATTTATGTAAATACATTTATTTCTTCAGTCTTTTAGGTAAATTTTAACCTATGAGGAAACAACATATGTTTAGACTCTCTCTCAGTGTATATTTTCCAAATAACTGTAAATTATTTTTGGCTATCAGTCTTGCATAATGCCATCCTTCCCCTTATAGCTCTCAAAATACAAACCATTCTGATCTGTAAGTGATGAGCCTCTACTGACTCACTTCAGCACCTTAAATACACCTTACCAGCACATTCTCCATGTGATTAGGGACGTCACTTGGGATTCAGCAAATCTGTTCAATATATTCTCTGGTTATTTCACAAAACCCTGAGATATTCAAATTCCCTTATCATAGAGCCCTATAGGAAAGGTCTGATTGGCTTGTGATTCAAGATCTCAACATCCATCAAAACAGAATAAGAACTTGAAACACATTCTGCGAAGGCCATGATAAAAAAAATATTGATTTGTTCTTTATATTAGATAGATACTTGATGATTTTGACAAAGGGATTTTTATAACTAATTTAACTGAATAAAAGAGAGAAATCTGATGTATTCTTATCCCTTATATCTGTGGGAAACTGTTAAAACAGTGATTTTGAATTCTGCATTTACTGATTCTACTCCTCTGTAATTCTTTCCACAAAATTAAGTCTTAGCATTTTAAGATGAATACCAGACTAACAGCTTCCTCACACACATATTGTCTCACATGTGTGCACATATACATGGGCTCTCCTAGTAACTTCCCATTTAGCTCATTTAAGTCACCCCTGTTCCTCTTAGCACCCATCAAATGCTATTTCATCTTCATGCTTTTAAAATCATTGTAATAGATTTTACGTTATTTTCATGAGTTTTCCATTCTTGTGTTACTCACTCATTAATTTAGCCACTTACATTCTGACCATTGCTGTTGTTTTCAATTAAATGCAAATTCAGCATAAGTTAAAACTGTGAGCCTTCAACATTCCTATGGATCTGATGTGAGAAAACAGATTAGTCTAGTGATGCACGTTTCATACTGAGAATCTACATAACTTTTTGGTTTTCGTGATTTCAACAAAATACATTATTTTATAATGATAATCCATCCATGGTTGTGGGAAGTACTATGACACTCATCTGTTTCCTTAAAAGTAATAATCTTTGCTCCTTGGGTCTAGGTAATTGGAAAGAATAAATGCTTTCCAGCATAGAAAGCAAACCCTGCAAAACAATTTATCACAAATAGATTAAAAGAAACTCTGTAATCTGATGGCAAAGCAAAACTCTGGTAGTAGTTTCTGAAGCATTCCATATGTTTCCATTTAATGCCTCCTAGTCAGCATGGCTCACTAACTGGCCCTGAAAAGGACTCTCTAAGCACGGTGATTTCAACTCCAGGTAAAAGGCAACTGTCTAGCAGAAGCCATTAGTGGGCAGAAAGGAGAGGCTCGCTTTGTTATTGCTGACTAACAGAAAAACGACAACATGCACCTGCTTCAGAAGACCTGGACTAAAATAAACTTACTACACTAGGTGGTAGAGCATGAAGGATACCCCACTGTTTTCTGAACCCTACAGAAAAGACCTGGCCCCACATCACTGGAATTTTATTTTTTTTAACTATGCGTTAAAAAAAGATGAAAAAAACCCCACAGCACAAAAGGAACTGAAAAGTGACTGCTTGTTAAGCCCTGTTTCTTCAGTAGCTCAGATCAGTTCAGACACAGCATAAAAAGGCATTCACAGAGAAACCCCAAGCTTTTGTGCACTGAGATCCCCCCACGCTCTAGAGGCATGGGTTTATGTAACTGTTCACAGACGTGTGGCATGCCACAGAAAAAAAGAAGAAAATTAAATAAAATGTCATCAACGGCTTGATACAACCAGGCTGGAGAGTAGAAGGACAGGGCAACATACTAGAGAATAGTACATTTACTGACAAACTTCTCACACATGGTTGGGAAAACTGATCAATCCACTAAAATCATCAGCTCAGTTATTATGACAGACCAGCATCCTTCCACTGTGGGGGCAGAGGCAACGGGAAGAAAAAAACGGGGAAAAGCAAGCAAATGAAACCTCACACTGATACTCCAGTAAAGTATCTGTCTATCTATGCATACTGAAGAACACAGCTCCACCTGGAGACCAGCCATCTCAGGGAGTTAAATCAACATGGTCAACAAAGCATAAAGTGGACAGGAGCAACATCTTAAAAGCCATTTCCATGATCAGAGATGCTGTTAAATACTCACATGAGAGCATTCTAAACCAGGCAAAGTGAAACAGTTTTACAAACAAGCTAAAAAAAAAAGTCACTGCAGGCAAGTCATTAAAGGATATTTAATGTAAACAAATTATTTTTAAATTTGCAGTTTCTCTTCCTACCAAATGTCTGGTTATTTTTCTTTGGTTACAAGTGTATTGTTCAGGACAAAGAAGATGGCCTCTAAGATTGAAAATGGCAAACACTCCCTCAGATGTACTTCTCAAGGTTTTGGTTTTTTTCCACCCAGCTGACAAATTGGTCAGTCAAATAATTTCTTATGAAACTTATCAATTATAGAATTAATTATTTTACTTTCATATAAGTATGAACAGCAGCAGTACTGTGCACATCATTACAATTCATCCTCCTCATGCAAAATCCACAGCCTTTTCTAGTTTATATCCTTTTTTTCCCCAAAAATATTTATGCCCAGCAATCAAAAACTTTTAAACAAACTGTAAAGTCTTTACACATGAGCAGGAAATTAAGTGCACCTATAAGTTCTTTATAACATGGTGCACAGCCCTTCTAAAAGAAAACCAACTGTTTACTCACCATGTCACTCTAGAGTTTTTTTAAGATTTTGTATAAATCCTGGCACTGGTTTTTCATTTCAAATCTTGAGTAACTTCAAGTAATTTGAAAGAAAAAACACAGATCTAAAATTATTTAATTTCTGTTTTACCATCTTTTTCTGCTTTACCATAGTGTTAAGGGTGGCTATATTTTAAATAAGGGCTTAATTCATTAAGTTAATTTAGGAACACTATCTCAATATAACCCAAAAAATATAATTCATAATTCCTACAGGAAAAATAACTCACACATCTAAGAGAAATTTTCAAAGCTGCTGCTTTCTTGACTCTTCCAATTTATTCTCTAAGCCATTGTGTTTGTTACAGGGAGCTATTTACAATTTATGTAGACCTGCCAGCAGATTCAAATTAAAATTAATTCTATAAATTTATAAACTCAAGAGTACACATTGGCTGTTCTTCACTTAACGTTATCAAGGTAAGGCTCTAAAGCACAAGAGGAAGGGAGATGTAGGGCTCTCTGAAGTCTGTGTAATGTTTCACTGTCAAACCAGCAATGCTTTAGGAACAACACTGTCAAAGGCACAAACAGGAATTTTATAGCAATTAAATGATGCCAATTTTAAAAGCTTTATCCCTGCTTATAGGAGAAAAATATTGCTTTTACCTTACTGATAAGTGTGACGACATCGCCTTCTCGGATTGTGAGCTCATCATCATTCTGTGCTTCATATGGAAATATCACTTTGCAATACTCCTTGTCTGAAAGGAAGAACATTCAATGTGATAAATTATCCCTTTATAAGAACTGCTTATTCAAGGGTGAATAATCTTCATAAAATATTCCACTAGTTTCTCTTTGTGCTGCTTTACTTCCTTGCCATCCTTCTCTTTTTATTTTAGACCTTCATAAACAGTATGAAATATTTAAAAAACTGCACTGATGAGCATTCCTGCACACGTCATCCAGGGAGTTGGTTCTGGAGCCCCTAGAACCATTATCCCAAATGACATCGCTCCAGACAGCAGCCTGCCACAAACTATTTCCCTTAGAGCAAGCCTGTATCTGACACTTGCTCCAACAGTTCCACTGGTATAGCCTTCCACCAGGTCACATAAACTGGAAGCATAAAGCACCCAGTAGGTCAACACAGCTTATCTATCCCCTTGTGTGCAAGACAGCGGATATTTCTGAATCTGTAAAGATGATAAAACAATAAATAATACATTAATGTAAATGCATTAATAATTAACCTTCTGTATACTCTGCATAAGAGTTCTGAATATTACTCTAAAGTTTCCTTGTCCCTTTTCCTTTACAGTCTATAAATAAGGGCATCATCTCAACTTTCATCTGGAAAATACAGGAGCTAGCACTCCTACTCAGAAATCATGAAAAGCAGTTGTCATGAAAAGCACTTACATGTTGCTGTGCAACAGACAAGTATGTCAATGTGCCTTACAAATAAAAAAGGAATATGTATTCCAGCTGTTAAACTATGTATAAAAATATGTGATACTCTTAGGCAGAAAGTTTAAAAAGACCAAATAAACTCCCTGATCATCTGTAGAAGGACATGTGACTCTGCAGAAATGTTCACCTCACTTCAAATGTCTCAGTTTTGATGACCTCTTCATCTAGTCAACTCTCATATTCAATGTAGACAAGAAGGTACTTGCAGGACACAAAAATATAAATTTATTTGAAATAATGGGACTTATTTCTTTGTATTTGCTATAAAGAGAACCTGCATTATCACACTTGTGGGTATTTTAGGCTCCACTGGGGGGGTCTGTTCAGCTGCCCAGACACTAAGTGCCATTTCAGACACTCATGGGTATGTAAGACACCTGCAGAGTTGGCAGATACCTATGTTGATGCACAACTTACGGGAGAATTGGGTCCCTCTGGCCTGACAGCTGAAGGCAAGTCAAAACAAAATACCCGGGGGGTATTTCAAACAGCTCCAGATGCAGCCTGCTGATTTCAGCCCCCAGGCTTGAGCCTTGTATCTGAATTTATATTCAAGGACTTGATGTTAGAAATCAACATGGTCAATTGATGGAGATCAAGTCACTAAAATGAGTGAAGCCTTGAGAGCCACTCCTCACTCCAAGAGCAGACACCTACATTTGATCAGCTGAATAACTCTCTGAACTTTCTGGACAGCACTGACAGATCTTCAGTGGGAGCCACTTAAGTCCAGATACCGAGCTCACATGGTTATAACCCAAACTTAGGGCTCTGACACAGAAGCTGCATTCCAGCTTTTAGAGTTTAGTGAGAGGAACATCAACCTTAAAGAAGCAGCCAACACACATGCATGTGAAGGGTGGCTGTTTCTAAGCACCATCAGCCCAAGAAATTATACAGTACTAACGGGGAAGAGGAAAGCTCTTCTCCAGATCACATACTGCCAATCAGAAACAGCATGAATTTTATGTGGCACTGGTTCAAGTAAACAAGAACTTCTTAGGCTTCACAGATTTATTTTTCTGAACAGAAACATTTCAATTAATCCATTATCATTACAGTTGGTTTTCAGGCCCTGTCCTGTACTAGGTCTGGTTGAGATGGAGTCAGTTTTCTTCCCAGCAGCCCACATAGTGCTGTTATTTTGGATTTGTGACTAAAACTTCACTAATAACACACCAGTGTTTTGGCTATTGCACAGCTATACCTGTACCCCTATTCTATCCCCCAAGTAGGCCAGGGGTGGGCAAGAAGCTGGGAGGGGACACAGCAGCTGAGCCAAGCTGAGTAAAGGGGTATTCTGTGCCATATGACCTCCTGCTCAGCAATAAAAAAGGGTGGGCTTCGGGGGTGTTGGTGTAGGAGGTTGCCATTGCTTGGAGACTGGCTGGACATTGATGTACTTGTAGTACCTGGTGAATGATTGTCTTTGTGTTGCCTCATATTTTTCCTCTTTTGTTTACTTATCAAACTGTCTTTATTCCTAAGTTTTCTTGCTTTTGCTCCCCCTGTTCTCTCCCCTCTGGGGTACCAAGTGGCTGGATCGAGCAGAGCTGTTGGCTGTGGTCAACCCACCATACCTCCTCTGATGTCTCTGAAGAAACAAAGAGTCAGATGAAGACAATGAACCCAATCTTTGGAGGAAAAAAATGAGCAAGGAAAAAATAAATCCCTTTCCCTAGTTCAGAAAGCAGGGAACACTGTCAAATAAACACCTGCTGACTTTTCCAAACCACTGGGCATGTGAGAACCACCAGGTCACAACTCAGATTTCAAAGGATGAAAGGGGTGTCTAACTGCTGCTTTACTGCATTCTGGAGGAAAGGTTGGAATCTCTCTTTGTGGACTTGTCTAGGATGTTTCACCTGATCACTGTCTTGTCTTCAAGACAGAACGTTTTATGTAAAAGCTGGTGGAAAGTTGACACATACATACTTAGGTCAATGTAAAGCAGCCTGTAGATAAATACGAGATTCAGCATATTTTACACTTCAGTGGTATGCTACCTTAAATAACCATGGTGGGGGGTTTTTTCCTATTCTGAGAATATCCACACCCAGAAAAGCAGCCATGCTAAATAAAAGATTCAGTGAATTAGTCCAGAGTCAATGTAGATGTAATGCTGTACTAAAGACACGGAGTGCTGCAAACTCAGGCAAGTCCTTAGTTACTGGAAGCATGCTTAGCATTTCTTTTTTGGGATACAGAACGGAAGCCATACTGGATTCTTAATAATTAACAGGAAGCAAGTACCCTCTAGCAAATGGCTACACATCTTCATCTTCTAGTTTTGATGTCAAGAACTCTCTTGTCCCATAACTGTTTGCTCTCCCCACCAAGCTTTAGAATTTTTTCTTTCCTTTTTTTTTTTTAAAGTACAGATAGCAGTGAAACAAGAAATTAAACTACAGATAAATTTCAAAATCAGCCAAATGCTGATGCAGTTTATAAAGAGCCAGGAGACAATCTTGTGAGAGGCACAAGAGGGAGCTGGGGGAGGTTCACGGCCGCCCCATGCTCTGAATGCTGGCACAGGAGTACAGAGTTAAGGCACAGCCATGGAAAAAACTATGGTTTATGTACAGTGGAAGTCTGCCCTTGTTGAATACAATTCACACAAATATATAATAAATCAATACATTCCTCTGCCTGGAAAGGACCCACTGGATCATGCTGCAACAGAGCTAGGTCTCAACAACATGGATGGGTTAGGAACCATGTAAGTGATTGGACAAAGTCAGCTTTCAAACTTCTCCTAAGGGAATGGTAGAACATGATTAAAGCAAGCACCAGCTAAGCCAACAGGAATCAGAATAATATGAACCTTTAAAATCAGATTAATAAAAGCAGAGAAAATCTAATGGGTTATGTCACATCAGTACTAAAATTGTCCTTACTCAGCAGAGCATAATACCACAAGAGGATGCAGATGCACTTAATGTCAACAGTTATGTTTAGATAGGAAGGAAGAAAAGATAAAAGGAAAAACTAACTTCAGACACAGCATTGTAGAGGTCACACTGGAACTTGCTGAATTTGGGGTTTTCCAAATGGAAAAAAAGAAAAAAAAAGACCAAAAAAACGAAAGGTCAAAACAATATATCCTATTATAAGCCTGGTAAATAAACTTAAGCAAAATTAAAGCTTCAAACTAGGATACTAAGCAACCCTCAGCTGTAGGTAATAAATCTTATGTTTACATTTGACATCCAAGGCTGGGTTTATACATCACAGATGGTCCTTCCAGAAGCTTCTCTTTTTCCCTCTGACCTGAAGACATCTTAAAAATATATCTACTAATAAAAGCCCAACAGCAGATATCTTGAAAACATATCTTGAAAAAAGGGAGGAGAAAAGACGATACTCATGAGATTTTCAGTCCTCATTTATTAATTCAGCAATACTTCACTGTCAAACCACAGTCTCTCACTGTAAACTCACAGCTCCTCCCAATCAAAGGACAACAACTTGCCACAGTCAATGGGCACTGCTCAGGGAACTGAGAGAGTACATAAACCTCACAGCACGTCTTGCAAATCAAACAGGCTGGATCTAATGCAGGATGTTCATCTTCTGAACATATTCTGAACGGAGAGAGCTTGAGCTAGGAGTAATACCATTTAAAAATACTCACCCTTAGCTACATCCTGTGATTTTTGAACTGTACTGTTCCAACTAGAATAGGTACAATGATGACACAACAATAAGCATCTTCACTGCCCATGCCACTCCTAGTCCTGTCCTTTGGAAAGAACAAAGTCATTCCCACCTTCTTTGACAGACCCCAAGGGGACAGTGACACACAATTCCCCTTCCCAATATCATCTTTGTAGCTCAGAAGTTGTAAGAAAAAGAAGTAGCAAAGAACTAGATATTTATTACAAGTGGTCTGTCACTGTCCATACTTTATTGAGGAAAATGTCACAGGCCCATCCTAAAAACTATAAAGGGGCTATCCTATAAAAAGAAATAAATGTTGTACAGGGGTAGTAATCATGCATCTCTGTGCAGCACCTTATGTTCCACAGTCTGTCCCAAGTTGAAAATGTGGCCTATTTGACACAGTCTCATTCCCCTCAAAAAATCATTGCCTCAAGAGGGAGAACAATAGCAAGAGACAGCCTTCCTACAGAATATAACTGCTTCATTACCTAGGCCATCGCAAGGGCTGTATTTCACTCACAGAATTCAGTGGCTCAATATGTATTTACAACTGCAGTGTAAAGCACTGATTTCAACCTATAGACCTTCTCTATGACTTGGGGTCCTGCAGTATTATAGCAGGTAAATTCATTTGTTTGTATTTTTAGAGGCTGGTTAAATATTACACTGTTCAAACCAGAACTGAGCAAACTCCATTAACTGTATCAGTGAGCCCTGCTGTACTTTAAAAGCATGCCTCTTCTATTTGTTCTCCTGCCACACTGTTAGGATAAGCTGAGACATTCAAGACAGCAGTCCACAGACAAATATACCTTCAAGCTTAAATTTCACAGGGGACAGTGACTCTGGAATTTACATTTCCTCTTAGGCCAGGATGACACAATGTTTTACCTCTACTGTTGCTTCCTTGTATAGTTATTTTTTGAGGCTTAAATATTTCCCCATCAGTGAAGTCTAAATCATACAGCAATCAATATGGACATAAACAGTAATACTAAGAAAGCAAGCAGCATTAAAGTATTATTCCTCAAGCTTTAAGTTTCCTCTCTTTGACCATCACGCATAAAATGCTTCTGAAATGGAATATACAAAATCTAGTGAAAAATTACATTATTAAAACCAAACCCGCAAACCAGATGAAAAATCAAAACACTATACACAGCAGAATTTGGCTTTACTATTAATTGCTACACTCAAGACTCATAAATAGATTGCACTAATAAATATTTTTACAGAACTTCATGAGATGCCAACTGCCAAAACACCACCTCATTAAACAAAAAATAGAAACAGAGCTAATTATGGCCCTACTAATGCATATTCAGCTATTCCTTATACATCACAAAAAAGATTAGTTGCTTGCTATGATTTTGATAGTCCTACGCAATAGCTTAACACAAATTGTAAATATTCAGTGAGTGGAGTAATTAAATTAAGTGCTGTGGTCAATGCACTCTGTGACTTACTGCCTTTGCTATTTTGTTGTCTGCTTATTTATACTCCATTTTTGCAGACTCAGTAATCTGCAATACCTCTCTCAGACATTATGGATGTTTTCACTTTGCTGAATTTTAGAATCCAACAGAGATACTTCAAAACTATATATATTTTCTACAACATATCCTTTTCACCACAAGCCACTTATACTAAAAACAAGCTATTTCATAGAAAAAACAATACATCTTACCCCAGAAACGGGATTATAAACACTCATGCATCAATGTGCCCTCCTATCTACATATGGAACTACAACAAGAGAATCTCTCTCTAAATCTAGGAACCCACAAATCTAAACTAAACAGCTCTCCCCTCTTCTGTTCAAAGATGCATTCTCTCATTCTTGAAAAGTTAGTCATGTTTTCCAAGGGACTACTCAAGTTCTGTAAAGATTTGTGCTTTCACTGTGCTCTTCCTTTGAGCAAAACGTCCTCTTTGGCAGAGTCCTCTTTGAAGAGTCATTCTTATCTATCCCCCTAAATCTGCAGGGAGATTTACACAGCATATTGTTGGGAGATGCACCTTAGAGAACACAACCCTCTGTCTTTTGTTCTGACCAACTCATCCTGCTGCAGACCTTAGGCCATCTTGCATGTACCAAGAGTAGATGGTAAACATATCAAGTGTCTCACTGCCAATCACTGCTCTATCACATCAGAAAAGCTATGGGAAAAAAGTAGGCTCTAATCAAGATGTGAGAAGAGTCACCAACCATCACTCCATGCTGAAGCCCCTGTGGGCAGAGGGGGAAGGTGCTGCTGCTGTCTGTTTTCCTCTCTCAGCAGGCTCTCTTACAATGCAACTGCATTTTTTATCCATTTGGGACTAAGGAATAACAGCATCAGTTGTGGAAACAAACAGGTGGAAAATGAAAAAACTTTACTATTTCTCTACCAACATAACCCCCATCTTGCTCGCAGCATTCATTTCCAGCAGTAATCCCATGGGAATCTAAATCGCACATCCAAAAGCCCCCTCTTCTGAGTTTAATCTACGGGTCTTCTGTTTCTTGCTACTTTCTTGGACAATGGCACAGTATCAATTAAAGATTCCAAGAAATACTGGGACACTACCATCCCAGGAAAAAGCGAAAGTAGTTGAGGTCCATGGTGGAATGATACTTTTATGCTGAACGCTGCAATCAGAACATTCATCAGTTTTCTGAGACTGCAAAACTTCCTCAGATTGAATGCTTTTTCAAGCTTGTTTGTGATAAAAAGCAGTAACTTTGGAGAAATGATAAATACTACACAGATCACACTCCTATGCCAGAGTCTGATCATTCTCTTCACGTCTATCATACATTAACTTTATTATGAAAAAATTATTCCTCTGCCTACATTAAAAACCAAAGTAGACTGAAGTATGTTTCATTTTCACGGAAAGGTTTTTCAATTTAAGTGAAGGACAACTTCAACTGATTGAAATAAATCTTCGGTGGTGCCATTTGAGACTAAGACAATTATACATAATTACATCAGACCTTCCTATACATGTGCTTCTCTTTCCCAAGCACAAACAGAGATACCAAGAATTCTATTGAGGCCCCAGACATTCCAGGAAAGATAAAATGTCCTAAATAATAAATTTTAGGCAAAATTCATAGAACAAGATACTGTACAAATAAGTAGCCCACCTTTCTCACCAGCTCTGGCAAAAGGGATGCTGAATGAAGATGGATTTTTTTGGCCAAAAAGTCACGTCCGAGGTAAACAACAGAGGTGAAAGAAGAACCAACCAGAGCCCCAAAGTGTTGATGGAAATGTTTCTCTGTCAGCCAGAGCTTAATGGATCACTGTAGAAGGTACGGTTCTCTAACCACTGTTTGGAAGATTTCCACACTCATTTACAAGTGGTCAAAGTTAGAAACTCCTGCACCCTGGGATGGGATTTCGTGAGCAGCTTCAGCTGTCAGAAGTATGAGCTGATGTGGAAAGGAGCACCTGTCTCACAGCCTGGCTTAACACCCAAGGTGAGTTCTGCAGGTGGGAAAGCCCATGGGATCACCCCTCCCATGGCACCTGCACTCAGATCAGCTGAACCTGCTCAAGCTGCAGGTTGGGAAAAGTAATTCCAGAACACATTCAGTAGCCCTGCTCTACATTACCAGTTCACACATTTTTCAATATTTCAAATTCTCACTTCCTCAGGGCAACTGAGTTCTTGCAGTACTTCCCATTATAGCCTGGTGGCACAGGGGAGCAAGATAAGAGGATGTAGCAAGTCGATTAGTGTGCTGGAGCTAATGGACAGTAATTCACTAAAAGCTGCTTTAAACTGCTTTTGCAACTCTGAGATGAAAACCTCTGCAAACCAGGTTGTAACCATACACTTCACTCAGAGAGACCCTGTTCTGGTGATCCAGATGCTATCCTTCCTATGTCTGTATGTACTTCAGTTCTGAAGGATAAACGCGTCAGGGAAGGAGAAGCACTGTGCAAGACTTAAAAAAAATCAGCTCCTTATATTATACTCATCTTCTTTTACATGGTATGGCTATGTTCTCTTCCCTCTTTTCCACCAGAATCCATAACATTTAGTAGTAACTTAAAAAAAATATATATATAAAATATATTTATATACGTATGAAATATATTTATATACATATGTTCTTTGGTAAGCTAGTTACATATGCCTCCCTAGAACGGCATGGGAACATCCCTAAAAGACTTAATCATTGCTTTTTGATTAATAAGCACTGAAATGATGAGAAAAGAATTGAAGATCAGAGAATCAGAGAATGGTTTGGGTCAGAAGGAACCTTTAAGTTCATCTAGTTTCAACGCCCCCTGCCATGGGCAGGGACACCTCCCACTGAACCAGGTAGCTCAAAGCCCCAGCCAGCCAGCCTTGAACACTTGCAGGGAGGGAGAATCCACAACTTTGAGCAACACGTTCCAGTGCCTTACCACCCTCACAGAACAGAATTTCTTCCTAATATCTAATCTAAACTTAAGTTTGAAGCCATTCCCCCTGCTCCTGTCACTACATGCCCTTGTAAAAAGTTGCTCTCCAGCTTTCTTTTAGGCCCCCTTCAGGTACTGGAAAGCTGCTGTAAGGTCTCCCTGGAGCCTTCTCTTCTGATTTCCCATACAAAATATAACATCCACACAAATTATTTCTTGTACATAATGAAATTTAAAAAAGGAAGAGGAAAAAAAGCAAGGGCACTCACAATGAAATTTTTCTATGAGCTACCTACAAGTTACAGCCTGAAGTTGGATCTTATTCAACTCTGATTAATTCCTAAGTACCCTCAAGGCTGAAAGTTGATCACATAATTTAATTTGATTTTTGGTGGCAGAGAACTTGAGGTAGGATTACCAGAGCAAAAACAATTCAGAGGATTCTGTGAAACAAAGCATTCTGTCTATGTACCTCCTACTCAAAGTTTATTCTAAATATATCTATCTGCATCCTGGCTTTTCATATATACAGGATGCTTTTAGCCAAAACCAGAGAAAAGTGTTCAGCTTGCCTTTAATAGCACAAAGTGCAAAAAAGAAAAACCTATGAAACCTACTTTTTGTTCTGCTGTCCACTTCTATTTTTGTTGGCTCCTGAGTTGCTGTGGCTGGAGGTAATTTCTTCCCAACACTCTGAAAAAAAATAATTATTCTCCTTTAAAATTTGCAGGTTCAGTTAAAAGTTGGACAACATAAAAAATTGTAATGGAAATACAAAATACAGGAGTAGAAAAAGGAAAATAAAGAAACAGAGGCAAATTATACTTAGGTTTGCTGCTGGGGGTTTTGTTAACTTTTTCAAAAATTATAAAGAATTCATAAAAATGTGATCCTCAAATTTACCTCTAAAAATGTTTACTAACATTTTTAAACAATAATCCCTTAACACAGTTTCAGGGAAGACTCAGAGAAGTTTCATTGGTGGACTGAACATGTGATGAAATTACTTAAGTAAAGGTGCTATTCAGTATCAAAACTCAAACTGAGAGAAGGGGGAGGAACCTCCTTGACTTCTGTCCATACAAGAAGTATTCATTTCAGTCATTCTAGATTGAGTGTGATTTTTATATTGACAACATCTCTCTAAAACATTCCCATTTTTACTTATTTTGAGCAAAAATATTTAATTTACAGATCAGTACTACAATAAGCAATAACCACCCTCAAACAGGTAAGCTGTAACAATAAACAAATGCTATCTGCCCCCACCAAAATAAAATAAAATTGGTATTAATCTTTATATCTTTGCCTGTTATTATATGAACGCTCTCTCTCCCCTCTCTCTCTCTCAGCTTTTCTCCCTACCAAGGAAGTTGCCTAGCTTTAAAATCCCAGCAATGTGTACTTGAAGAAATAAGTGTAACTATTACTTGTTTATATAAATAGGAGTACTGAAAAGCCCTAGCTGTCATTCAACGTCCTTTTCTGGCAATGTATGCATAAATACCACGAAACCTCCTCCATGCTCCCTTGACCTTCTGAGTAAAAGCTAAGAGATGAGAGCTAAGATTTAGTCTTGGAGACCTAAGGAAACTCTTGGGGACCATAAGGAAAACACTGGTCAATACGAGAAGCAATATGAGTATAGCACTTCTAGTAGCTGAAAAATTCCAAGCTGTATAAAGAATAATAAGAGCTCCATGTTAGTAATTTTGTACACTAATGTGTCAAAACATATCTATGAAAAGGACTAAAATACACACAGGGATTTCAGGTTGAACACTGGGGAACAGAGATAGTTTTAAGAGGTGCCCAAAACAGTCATCTAATCTGTGTTGACAGCAAGACAAACTATAAATTGCAGTACCCAAAACCATCCTGTTGCAACTTAACTTGCAGGTGGCAGCAGAAACAACTGACCTTCTGCTGAGCTAATGACTCTGCTTACAACCCAGAGTTTGTGAACTGCTGAGGAAGAGAGATCAAGAACAAAACTCTACAGAACCTCTGAAATTCTTTGCTGAGGTGGGAATGAGAGATAAGAAGCATTAACTGAAGCAGTGACTGTGAAGAGAATAGAAAAACAGGACGTGACGCATTCCTGCAAACCAGGAAAGGGTAAAACTAAGAAAAGTGCATGACCTGCCTGTGCTGAAGCAGTTAAAAGGCAAGAAGGATTATGAGAAAGAGCTGACTGAGATCTAGCTGGAAAACAGTGAAAATTGTAGTCAAAGAGATATAATGAAAAATTTGAACCTACTGGGCATTTACAGAGATAAAAGCACAGAATGCCTGCAAGATGAAAGCAAGATTGGGAAGACAGCTTTTGGTTCAGAGGCAAACGGGGCAGTTCAAGATAGATGAACATTTCAGTATATGCCCATTCATGATCAAATCTTTTTTCACAGTTCTGTTTCACAAAATGGTTTGGAAAATAATGAGAGCATGTACTCTAACCTGCACCGCTATTTAACTCAGAAAGACACGCTTACTAAAAGAATATCCAAACCTAATAATTTAGGGGAGTTTGGGGGTTTTTTTAAAGATGAAATTGTTATGTAAGAGCAATTAATTAAAGGAAATAATTTGGTAATTGCTTCGCCGTAGATGAATCATTGATTTTATGCCATGAAACCAAAACCCAGATAAACCCACAACAAGCTCAGATTTAACAAGCTACAAATCACAGCAAAAGAATCATGGGCAAAAGGGAATATATTAGTGTATCCCAAGGGAAAGACAGGCTGCAATGTAATTTCTTAATTTACAGAAACTGATGCAAGGGCAGTGCTTGAAAGCATTTATTAATCTGTTCATTCAAAATGAATGCCTGTGCAGGTGATAAATCAGAATTGGGAACCAACTGATTCCTTGTGAACTGAACAGAGAATACCATCTAAACAAGGCTGCTCTTCTATGGGGAGCTAGGAGGCAGAATTCAAATAAGTTTAATGAGGGTTGCACAGAACCCACTCCAGTGAGTGAACATGTGCATTTCTTGTGGGATAGGGAGAGGAGAAGACAAGTGGAACTGGTGTTCTTTAATTGTAAGGGGACTGCACTCTATGATTTCTACAGGTGACATGGGCACTACTGATAGGAAAAGGGAATAAAAATTGCTAAGCCATACAAATCTAGTTTCAGGTGGACCTGTGCTGCCAAGATGTTTTACTCTTCCTCTGAAATGGTACAAAAGAAGGCATATTTTTAAATTATGATTTATTTATGTTACCAAATGGTCTATACTGATCTATGCATGGAAAACGTACATGAACCTTTTCCAAGAAATTTAACACAGTACTCATTTGTTCATTTAGGAAACACCCAAGATAAACTTGCCTCGCTCTAAGAGACACTGAATCCTTTATGATCTGTTAAATCTGATGGTTCTGCTTTAACAGGACAAAACCTTAAATACTGCTAAGATCTGTGTGCTGGGAGTCCCAGATCACGTAGTGTTATCAGAGTTACCAATTTTTCTGACAAGAAAACAAAAATGGGAGACAGTAACATCTCCTTCCATATAAGCCAGCAACTCTCCTGTTGACTCTCCAACTGTTCTACATCACTCATACTCCCAGACAGGTCAAATATCTACCAAGTTTACTACTGGCAAGGAAAACCAAGCAAGCCCAACTTAAATTCTTGCTGATCCAACACATATCTGCATGACATAGGCTTTCTTCTCAGGCACTAGTTACTATAAAATATTTTGGTCTCTTCTTCAGTTGAAGGCCCAATGCAATTTATCGAAATCTCCTTCATTTTTAAAAAAAAATGAAACATGAGAGCAAAGAAGACTCTAAGGAGGTTGAACTGAAGATTTCAATGTAATTCTTTCTCCTCCTCTGTTCTTCCTTTACATAAGAAGAAGGTCCAAGCCCTTCTAAACACATTGATCTATGCTGCAAAATACTGATATACTGATATACTGATACACAACTCCAGCTTTTACCTGACTCATTCCTACCTATGAGGCTCAACAGAAGCAAGCAAACCTGACCCCTTAACACAGGCAGAAAACAAGATTTAGACCTTGAAGGGCTTTTTGGGAATGAAACATTCCAAATCCAAGAGTAGGATCCTCAACTCTGCCAGCATCCCCTGACATCTCTGAGCATAAAGTGCCTCTCTCCATTTACCTAACTCTATCATGTTGTCAATAATGTTAGCAATAAAAAGTCACACATGGCATGAACCAGAATGCCCATAATGACACCCTCCCAGCAGTGTCCTTATTGCCAGGCTGCAAACACAAGTGAAGTTCAGCATTTTCTCTCTAGAGCTGTATATCTTGGATTCTTGGCTGCAGAATGGTTTCAGCACCAGCAAGAAGAGTAGCATATCATTCTGCGCCTTTGTATCTCTAGCGTGGTGGTACAGAGACACTCCTAAAGACTACTGTTTCAGTTTCCCTCTATCCTCCTCCAGTATGCTAATTATCATAAATCTCTTTTGTAGATGGTGGCAGTGAGCCTCGTTCCACTTACATTACTCTGGAGATACCACTGATGGGCTTAGTCCTGTCACACGAGAAACACCTGGTGGAAACAGAGTTTGTATTTGCTGACTCCAAGCCTATGTTGACTCCCAAGACACAACAGAACATTATCCAAAAAAAAGGCAGAATCTTGATCCCACTATTTCTGCAAGGTGAGCATAATTAGATTATTTAGCTGTCAGACACAAATTCTGCTAATCGCCTGACAAGTGAATCCTAAAGATGAAAGGGGGTGAAGTGCCCTCTTGCTGCAGAACAGCTGATAAAAGCATGAAAAATGACAATGATCTGGTGTACAGATATTCAGAGGGATGAGACAGATTTAGCAGCAATCTACCAGTATTTATGCTTTGTTTTACGAAGCCAATGGAAGGACAGCCTAGCACTAAATAACAGGTTCTGCTGGCAGAAGAGGCCTTGATGGCATCTAGGTACACTGCAAATCCATATCACTGCAAGCCAGTTTCCTCTGATACTGAAGTAACAGTGATTAAAAAAGTGGTTGACTTTTAGCACACAAAGTCATGTGACTAAGGTCATGGTACAATCTAAAGAGTCTCATTTTCTTTCATTTATATATTTTGTCTAAGCTGCAATTCCTCTAACAGCAGAGAACACTACAAGAGAAGTAGAGCACATAACAGGCACTATACAAGTCAGTTTTTCTCACTTAAAAGTACTTCCCTACAACTAACTGAACCCTGACCAGAGGAATCAAAAAAGACCTGTGGCCAAGTTTCCTTCTTCAGGACATTTTAGAATTGTACTTCAGGGTTTTCTGTTGTTGTTCAAAACTGCCTTGTCTATCTACTTTTGTTATTCAGGTCTAGTGTCTCTAGAACATTTAATCTGAAAATTCAAATTGAATTGTCAGTTGTGCACAGGTAGGTCCATACAGAAGATTCTGTTATACTTCTTTGCACTAAAGAAACATACTTATCTGTTGAGGTTCCTTTAACAATATAAAGGCTACTTGAAGCAACAGCTTATTAACTCAGGAATAAGGAAAAACATATTTACTCATCATCAGTATTATTCTGGAAAGTGTCTTGAGCTCTTTATCCTGAAAAAAAAATTTTGGAACTGCTACTTGGAATATAACTCCATGAAGACATTCTAAAAAATATATCAGACATCAAAGAATTCATAAAAAGGGGTGTATTAACCAAAAACACTAATATTTTTAAGTTTA